ACAAAAATGTTGCTTCTTTGTGATCGAAAGATCACAGATTTAAGTCATGAAAATAATTTCTTTGCAAATTAAACATAAAGCTATGTAGGATAGTCGTTCCTTTGATCCTCATAAAATGAAAGAGGTGTGCTATCCACACATCATATTTTACTTCTTACACATCCCTTGATAATTTATGTCTGTTAAATCTTATTCAATTCGTCCGATCCGACGATCGAAAATTAAAGTAAAATAAAATGTGTAAATATCACATTTCAAATAAAAAACCTTATTAACTTGAGATCGCCTTAACGTGTGATAAACTCAGAATACCGCTGTTTTCTCGAGTTCCATTATTCACCGTGTGGCAAACAAGACACTCAAGTATCATGAGACTTATTCTTGTAGTACATTCGAAGCGATCCCACTGTCCCACAAGGAAGAGAAGTAGGTGGTAGGTAAAAGAAAGAAACATGGGTTGTCTGCTGATGGATAACTCAAACTACTTTCTCGACCTTCGGATCAAGCGACATCGTTCAACAGTGGTTGACCAAACCCCACCAATCCCTATCAAACGGTCCATAGTCAAAACCACAAATCATATTTTCCTCATCTAATTTGCACTCTCAATCCACGATGCAGAGAGAGAGAGAGAGAGAGAGAGAGAGATCCACCTTTTCTGGTGAGGGTATTACAGTAATTCGATCGTCAACTTTGGTTTATGTAGCTATAGACAAAACGAGTTTCATTTTCTACCTCGCTATCTCTTTATCTTTAATTTATAAAGGAAAACAAAAAGAGGGAAAAAGAAAAGAAAATCAGCTTTAACTTTCGCAGATGACGTGTTTACCCCCAATCTTTTACCCATAACGAAGGGTACTTTAGTCTTCAAAAAAATTAAAATAGAAGAGGGAGAGAGGAGAGCAACTTTGGTGTTATACATTGTTGTGCTGTCGTGGGAGAAAGTTTAAATTCGTAACAATGTATGATTAACTTTGAATATCATTGTAAAACGTTCTGATAAAAATAAGATTTATTTATGTGTCACATCAGCATATAACATAATTTTTGACAGAATTGTGACGGAATAATCACATTGATTTGTGATATCTGTTTGTACCATACTTGACCAATTCCAAAACTACTAAGCACCGGTCAACGTTATACAGTTAAGGATCCACAAGAGTTTCCCTCCAACCAAGAGGCCAATTACAGCGCGACACGTGTCGACATCAGAGGCCAATTATAGCGCGACACATGTCAACAACAGAGATCAATCACAACCTGACACATGTCAAAGTCAGAACAAAGCTAGAGACTCTATTCTATAAAAAGAGATTATTCTCTCACAATATTTCCTAATGTCATTTGTATTAAATACTAGTACTCACTAAAGGAGAGCTTGAACCTATGTACTTGCGTAAACCCTTTACAATTAATGAGAACTCATCTACTTCGTGGACGTAGCCAATCTGAGTGAACCACGTACATCTTGTGTTTGTTTCCTTATCTCTATTCATTTACATACTTATCCACACTAGTGACCGGAGTAGTCTAGCGAAGGTCACAAACTTAACACTTTATATTGTACCAAAGTCTTCGCTGATTTTGTGCATCAACAACATCTATTTTCAGGGATTACATTGATCGATTTTTAACTTCAATAACCATTTCGAAAGTGTGGATCAATTTAAAAAACAATTTGTAATAAAAACTCTTTTTGTATTTATTTTAAAAGAAGGGACTTCTGGCACTTATTTTCTGAATTTACACACTCTTAATTGTTTATGACCTTTTGAATTTATAAAAAAATTTAGAGAAAAAATAAATATAATATGCACAAAGGAAAAAATAGCCTAAAATCATTTTCCTTTTTCAGTAATTTCTATCTCAAGTGGCTAGAACGATGGGCATATTACCGACATTTTACCAACAAAACAAACACAAGGGGATATTTTCGTCATTGCAGAATTATAAAGAGAGAGAGGTTAAGAGTAGAGAGAGATAGAGAGAGGAAGAGAGAGACAGAGAGAGAACAGCCTGAGAGAGAGTGAAGAGCGTTTTGATTTTCCGTTTATTCAGTTACTATATGTAGGTGCCATTGCTAACGCCATGGTGTCGGACCAAGAAATAGCCGAAGCTGTGGAGACTGTGCTCCGTCAATCAGGCCCTAACGACGTCGCCTCCGTAAACGCCGTCGTTCAGCAGCTCGAGGCCAAGCTAGGGTTGGACCTCTCTCACAAGGCTGCCTTTATTCGCGACCAGATCAACTTCCTCCTCCGCCCCTTCGCCCAACCGCCGCAACCCCCCAAAGACCATTTTGCCCTACATTACAACCTCAACCCCCACCACCACAACCACCCTCACAACCTCCCCCACAACCACCATCCTCAATTCCTCCCCCAACAATTCCCTACCCATTTTGCCCTCCACCCCCACCACCGCGCCCCCGAACCCCACAACTTCCACCCGCCGCCGCCGCCGCATCAGCAACTACGCCCTCAGACTCAGCAACTACGCCCTCAGCCTCAGTCACAGCCTCAGCCTCCGCCTCCGCCTGTGAAGACCGAGGCTTTCCCCCAAAATGCCCCCACAGCCGCCCCGGAAACGCCCAAAGAGAGGTTCGGATTTCATGTTTCAAATTTTGAAATTCAAAAATATGTGGATTTTAGGCTCCCGCTTTTCTTTCCTGTACATTTCGAAGGTTGCATGTTTATGAAATTCAATTGGTGCCCATGTTTCCAGAGTTTCCAATCAGCAACATTTCGTCAAGTGTCCGTTTAAAACTTTTGAAATTTCTACTTTTTCTTGTTTGCTTCTACCAAATTTCGCTAATTTGCATATCTTAATTGCTATTTCTCACTAATCGTTTTCTCTTTTGGGTAAATAGAGCCTACTGTGTAAATTTTTCTAACAAATTAGGGAACAAACGTATTGAAATTGGCCTTCAAACCCTTTTTAGTATTGTGATAGGAAAGTTTTAACCTTTTTAGTGGACAAATTGTCATTCGGATAAAAGTCGGACTCAAAAATGCTGTTGTTTGTCTCTTTGCATAAAACATGAAATAGTAACCAGCAGGGGGTCAATTAGGAAGACTCTCACTCTAATTATATAGTAAGGCTGTAAGAGTCTCAATCCTCAATTATTGAAGAGCTGGCTTAATGGTCGTGCTAATTAAACGAATTCGCTTGTCAGTTTGGTTGGCCGTTAATATTTTTGCATTTTTGCATAAATTTGGAGGTTTCGTGGTTTGAAGTTTCGTCCTGTTAACAGGGTTTGGGAATAAACGATTTGGAAAAGCAGCATCATCCTTTCATTCACCGTAGCTCAAATATTATCTTGTTGTTTTGTACTTGCAAGTAATCTATTATGGTTCACTTTATTTCATGCTGCAACGGATGACATGACATGCTTGTGTTCCGTAATGTTACTGCAGTGCTCCATCTTCTGGAACCAAGAGAAGAGGAGGGCCAGGGGGGCTTAACAAAGTCTGTGGTGTCACACCTGAGCTTCAGGCTGTTGTTGGTGAACCGGCCTTGGCGAGGACTGAGGTTATTACTCCCAAATAAACGCGGATTCTCTTTTTATGCTAACTTGTTATGGTCAATGATGTGGCTCAGATTTTTCTCGGTAGATCTTAATGTAGGTTTATGGGTATGTTTTAAGATTTTATTTTTGCTTATTTCAGATTGTGAAGCAGCTCTGGGCATACATAAGGAAAAACAACCTCCAAGATCCAAGTAATAAGAGAAAGATTATTTGTGATGATGCCTTACGTGTGGTATTCGAGACAGACTGTACCGACATGTTCAAAATGAATAAGCTGCTATCCAAACATATTATACCCCTTGAACCTAACAGTATGTAAACACTGAGTATTGCTTCAGATATTGTTCCATGAGGCTAGATTAATTTATATCTTTCTCCTGTGTATATACAGAGGAGTCAAGTCAAGCTAAACGATTGAAGGTAGAGGCCAAGTCTACAACTGAGAATACTGAACCTCAACCACAACTGCAACCGCAACCGCAACCGCAACCAGGGTCCCTTACTGTAGGAATATCTGAAGCACTAGCTAAGTTTTTGGGCTTTGGAGGAAGTGAGATGCTCCTATCTGAGGCAACAAGACTTGTTTGGGAGTATGTAAAGGTTAACCGTTTGGAGGTAAGCATCGAGGTGCAGAATTTTGTACTTCTCTCTCCCGTAGATCTAAGATAATTATTTCATTGTGTACATTGAATTTATCTCCGTTATTCCATTATCAATCACAAGCTGGATTGATTTCAGCTAGTGAGGTGATGTAATTCTCCTTACCTTTCTACTTGCTTAACTGCTACCTTGCTTGGTTTGGACCTTTCTTCCCCATCACAGTGCATGTGGAAATAAGACTTATGATGGCACTTTGCTTGTATTTCCATAGGATCCTCTAAATTCTACGGTGATATTATGTGACGCAAAGCTCCACGAGCTTCTTGGATGCGAAAGCATTTCTGCTGCGGGGATGCACGAGATCTTAGATCGGTATCATTTATTCAAACAATTATGATTTCTGGTAGTGTTGACTGGTTAGTATAAGTTCCATTTGTTTAATTCGTCTCATTTCCTTCTTAACAAAATTCTATGCATATAAACTATTTAGCTTAGTTTGCTTGCCTCTCACTCGATGTGTTATTGACAATCATTGAAATGGTCTGCTTTATTCTTTTGCAGGTGCACGGGACCTTTGCCATCTGGTCTCTTCTGATCCTAGAAAACATAGGAAAGAACACTTCTTTATATCCGTTGTTTTTCTTTTTCGTCGTCTCATTTGTACGTTGACGTGGTTAGGTGCTACGCCGTCTAACTTGTCGTGGTCATTTGGATTTAGAATTGCTATGTGCTGTTGGTTAATGGCAACAAGTTTCTTAGATTACGCCATTGCCTAGGTTAGTTCGTTTTAATCGTCTTCTCCTAACCTTGAAACTGTGACAGAATGATAAAATGCTCTGTACAGCATGGAAGGATCTTTGTATTTCATAGATGGCAGTAAATGTTAGTTTTAACTGCAACTTGTGTATCTTCTTACATCGCAGTAAATTCTTATTTTAACTTCGATTTTTTTTAGCATTCTGCCCTTCGTGGTGATACATATATTTCAGAAAATTCAAATTGGATAATACTTTGAAACTACCGATCAGTCGGAAAGAAAATGTTGTGTTCCATCACGCGCAATGTCAGCCGTCAATGGCTGCCCAAGGCCGGCCACCCTGTGTTTTGGGTCAATCCCACCCTTGTCACGGGGTGACCTAAAGTGTAACTGCAAAGTTTTTGGATTTTAGTTTCACTGCCAGTACAGTGCATCCCATTCTTGAAGAAAGACTTGGACGTATAACCAATTTTTGCTATTGCAAATTCTGAAATTACTTAAAGGTGGTATGTGAAATCAAAAGACACCGAAGTTTTGCAATTTCAAAACAATTATATGAAAGGTACGACAGTGCGATTGACTTGAGATATAAGGGCAACGACACCCCCGCTGTAGGTTAGTTTCTCTCGTGGGTATGACTTAATCCAAGATAAGTTTGAAAAAGATTAAAAAGGCAGCCTTGATGAACAGAAAGAGTAAAACCCACAGAATTCCGTTTGCTTTACCCTTGAACATTGAATTGGAACCCATCTTTTCCATTAAACCCGCCATAATTCCCATTATTTTCTGCAAGTGATATAATAAGCAGAGAGAAAATATGAACATAAAGAAAATTAGTGAAATTAAGAAGTCATTAGAACCTAACTTACCAGTCTGAGGGGTTCAATATGGAGGAGTGGTTCCATAAACATCTCCACATTTCTGCAAAGAAGATAACGGGAATTATGAATGAGTAGTTTAATAATGTCGCGGTCAATATTTTAAGTCAATCAAACACGGCCATGAATGAATGGTTTGAGATACAGCTAAAGTGGCTTCTTAACAATACGTGAGCTTCGCTTATGTTGGGAAAATGAGTAATGCTACGGAGATAACATTTTTTTACCACATTCACATCACTTTTCACATCAGATAGTACGTGGATAAGGTTAAAAAGTGTGGTCTCCTTAGTATTTTTCTTGGGGAACTGTGAGAGAAGAGGGTATGCAATTTATATGAAGCAAACAAGCACCTTATGATGACCTTCCCTTTATAGATTTGGCATATATGGAAGCTAAAGCCCTTTCCCAGAGGCACATGCGTTTTGTTCCACTCTGCATATCAAATTATAAATCCCTTATTGCAAAAACAGAAAGAGAAACGGGGTTCCTTCCATAAATAGTTACAATCTTAATTAGTCTGCAGAAAAAAATAATTGCAGGCGTATCAGTTCATATACCTAAGCTCCACTGAACACCGACGTTCATTCCATGGTGCAACGTCGGCGTTATAACAAATTCGATGTTACTTCCCAAGCTTCGGATTAGATATGAGAAAAAATCCATCACTTGCTGCAACGGAAGTCAAAGTAGCACTTGTCTATACGTTATATAGTTTTATGATACCATATGCAGGTCATATATAATACATATATATATATATATATGTAAAATGTATAAAATGTATACCTTCTTTCCTCGGAGGGGTTGGATGACTGAGAATAAATTGCATACACATTGGCATTCATCTCCTATAATCTCAGACAACTCGCGAATGTTTTTGTTCTTGATAGCGGTGTAGAGTTTGAGGACTGTTTCCAGAGCTCGTGGATCCTCGGCTCCCTGATGATCCCCTGGTAATCCTCCTGAGTTTCTAGCAGAACTGACTGGCACTAACAAGAAGTCTCTCTTCTTTGATTTTGGAAAGATGCTCTCATGAATACTAGGTTGTCGATGATCACAACTTGGTGGATAAAAATTGCCAAAAACATTACAAGAAGATGCTGTTTTCTTCAAATTTTTGTGAACAATGGCCCCGGTAGGGCAAATAACCAAAGTCATTTGAACATTGAATCAATATTGTAAGACATCGAAAGTTCTAAACCATATGAGATATGATATATACACAGACATAATGTAGCAGATGAATATGTTGTTTGACAAGATTCCTAACCTAAATGGCTAGGAAGTTAGGTATCTTGCCCACAACCACAAGCTAAGTTTGTTCCTTGGTTACTTGGTAATGGTATCGCCTAGATCTCTGCCAGCTTTATTTGCTTAAAACGTAAATTTGAGCGAAACCCCAATGAAACGATTCGAAAAACACCATTCAAATAGTTACGGATGAAGCTCAAAACCTGAAATTCCTGTTCTTCCGCATAAGCAAAACTAACCGTCCATTTCTGCATGTATGGAGAAAAGGTTTGGCAACTTTTTTCCTACATATTTTGATGAAGGGTTAAGGGCACAATTTCTTCGGAGAACTGGCCAGATTTTCACACCTTGCTCAGTTGCTCTACCGGCAGGCATGCCCAGCAGATGGGCAGCCAAGACTTTTGATTTTGTTCTCAAGATAACAGAAAAATGAAAGCCAGATATTGAAAGTTCATAAAAAATAACTTTCAGCATTTAGTTTCAATTTCATGTTTTTAAAAACTGAAAACGAAAAAAAGTAGGTAAACAAGTTTTTAATTTTCAAACCCACTAGTACTAAAGCTGATGGCAATTTATCACAGTGGTGGAAAAAAAATTTCTAAAATTCAAAACGTCGCACAAATCAAATTAAAATAAGATAGTGATATTTACACATTTCTTATCTCTCATACATCTTTAATAACTTTTATCTATTAATCTTCTTCGATTAAATCGTTTCTGCGGTAAAAAAAAAAATGTGTTTGCGGAAATAATTTTGTGTGACCTTAAAATATGCGAAAACGTGGCACTCTCACAGACTATAATAATACAAGAAACGGATAAAATATCAGATCATTTGTGGCTGCAGTTGAATATGCTGGATCTGGATCTGGGAAAAGCGGAGGGGTTGTGATTTGGCAGAGGAAGTGGCGGCCAACGCGCTTACGAAGGCGCGAAGCTGGCGGAGTGATCAGAGGAAGGCGGGGCCGATTGAACAAAGAAGAAGAAAATGGTTGGTAGCACAGACTAATACGGCCAATAATAAAATGAACAATAATAAAATGAACTGACCAACAAAAAAGACATGTATCTAACATTATCATTGTAAGATAATAAGAGAAACTCAAAGAAAACACATATAAGTCTCAACCGACAGTTTACCATAAGGGCCCATACATTGTACCGCTTAAGCGTGACGGCGGTGCCGGAGACGGCGTTTTGGTAGAATAGGCACCTCACACGAGGTACTTCTCCCCGGGTTCTTCTCTGATCACTTGGCCCAGCCTTCCTTTGATCACTTTGCTAGCTTCACGCCTACGTAAGCGCGTTGGCCGCCACTTCCTCTGCCGAATCGTAACCCCTACGATTTTCCCAGATCCAGATCCAGCATATTTAACTACAACCACAAATGATCTGATATTTTATCCGTTTCTTGTATTATTATAGCCTGTGAGAGTGCCACTTTTCCGCATATTTTCAGGTCACACAAACATCATTTCCGCAAACACACTTTTTTTATTTTTGACCGCAAAAACAATTTAATCGAAGAAGATTAATAAATAAAAGTTAATAAAGATGTGTGAGAGATAAGAAATGTGTAAATATCACTATCTTATTTTAATCTGATTTGTGCGACGTTTTGTTTTTTAGAAATTTTTTAATGTAGTAATTTTTTAATGTAGCGAGAATAATACATTTGAAATGATTTAGGGTTTGAGTATGATTGGGCTGGGCCTTTTACTCTGTCTTCATTGGGTCGGTCAGTCCATGAAATCAAACCATTTAAATACTGAAATACCCTTGACCTTTTCAAGAAGGACACGGCTGTCCCTTTGGGTCAGTAACTTTCGCATTCCTGGACGGAGTGAAAGACAAACGCCGTGTAGTGAAAATCCAATCGATCCAGAGGCAGAGCAGAACAGAGAGAGATATAACCAAAACGCAACCAAAGACCGTCGTTTAGCTCTGATTCCTCTGACTGCCCGCGAAGCTCCAACAATGGCGGCAGATCTGGTGTTGACACAGCCATCAGAGACTGGGTTCTCATCCCTCTCTCGGTGGTCATGGTTCTCATCGGTGTCCTCCGATACTTCGTCTCCAAGCTCATGCTATCCAACCAAGTCCCTGATGCCAAAATCGTCAAAGAAGGGTCTCCCTCTTAACTCTAATTACGCATGCTTATTGTACTAAATGTCGAGAAGATTTGGAAGCAGAGCCTTCGACTTCGACGATGATCGACGCGTGGGTAGCTTACAAGGAAAATGGTGAGCAACACGTGTAAAGGAGGGGCAGATTAGTAAATCAGCTGTGCAAAATCCAAAAAATGTATAGAACGTTTAGCAAATAAAGGGTAATTTCGTCAGATCACTGTTACTGAACACTGATTTTCGGTTTGGGAGAAAATTTTCATTGTAATTGGAATACGGGAGGTACACCACTTGTTTTTATATGAATGGTGAGAAATTTTATTTTTTAAGTTTTAACTTTTTAATACACATATCACATCATTTGTATAGTAACACGTGATGTATCATTTCATATATCAGTCATATCGAAAAATCTCTCTTCTGTTTGGGTTTTAATATATATAAATATAATTTCATGTTTTTAAAAACTGAAAAGGAAAAAAGTTAGTAAACAAGTTTTTAATTTTCAAATCCACTAGTACTAATGCTGATGGCAATTTATCAAAACGATTATATCTTTGAATTCTGGTGTTAAATTAATACCGAATCAATGTGATTTTTCTGTAGCAGTGTAACTTTACGATTCCAGTTAAGAAAACATGCCTAGTAAGTGTAAGTTTCCTAACTGGCCTTGGTTTCCCGTTTTGCAATAGGAATATGACTTCGTTTTGTAGTGGAAAACTTGGAAATTGAGAGAGAGAATCCTTCCGGCACATGGAGAAGTTCAAAGCCTTATAAGTATACAAGACCTAGCCTCAGGAACCTCAACTGCTGAAGTCACGAAAACAATTGATAGAGAGAAATAACTACTGCTTTTTTGATATCGAGAAAATACATGGAGATGTTGGCTGGGATGAGCAGCAGAGAAAGCAGCAGAGAAAGAAGAGGAAGATGCGGGACTGTTCCATCAACAACAACACTAGCTGTTCTTCGTTAACGAGCCTACCCACCGAAATTCTTATCGACATCCTCTTTAGGCTACCCGTAAGTTCACTGTTTTGCATCCGATGCGTCTCAAAAACCGTGTTAAACATAGTCGACTGTCCATCTTTTGTTACCCTTCACACGCAACGTTTACTTACTGTACAAGCTACCCAGAATAATTTTGATGATGTTAATCATGATCAAGTACCTAAACTTATGCATATGGATCATAGTACCACCACAGCTGAATATTGTGCCTTCCAATCAGTGGAATACGACGACAATAAGAATGCCTTCACACACAAGGAAGATGATGCAACCGCGCCGCCCGAGTTTGGTCCCCCACCTCCGCGGCCAGATGGTTGCTACGACAAATTTGAATTTGTATTCTGCAACTTGCTTTGTTATAGGTTTTTTGGGAATCCGGAATCTGATACCATAAGATTTGAAGAACCATGCATCTTAGTTAATCCTCTTAGGAGAGAAGTCCTAGTGCTCCCAACAACAACCAACGCTCAACTTCCAGCGTCATGTCCAAAAGATAGCGTCTTCGATTGGTTAGCTATGGGATTGGATAATGTTACCAATCGTCTCAAGATCGTCCGTGTCTCTGGAAATAAAGACTACAGCAGCCAGCTGGTGGCCCAAGTTCATGTATTGGGAACAAACTCGTGGCGGGAGGTAGACTCAGTTCCTCCTTGTAATTTAAGCGTGAAGAAGTTATATGCATACGGGGACATGCATTGGCTGGTATGGTCAGAGTATGAGTATCCCATTAATGATGATAATGGTGAAGATGATGACAAGTATTATGATGATGATAATAATAATAATTACGATGATGCCGATGATTATTATGATTATGATGATGATGATCCAATAAAAAGGGCTTTAAGCATAGTTTCCTTCGACTTCAGCAAAGAGGAGTTCCACCAAAGAATTCCTCCTCCCAAATACTTTGGAGACAGATACAAGTATTTTGACTGTGGGGATAGACCGCCAGCGGAGTTGGAAGGTGCTTGCAAAAACTACCTTTTCCAACTCCATTTGGTAAATTTGAGAGGATATATGGCCTTGGTAGATGCTTCGTCATGGGATCATGGGATCATATTGAGATATGGGTGTTAAGGAATTACCATGACAAGAATCAAGAGTGGAGTCTTGAGTACATGGTAGAAACCACAATAATTTACAGGAGGGATACTCCTTTCTACCATCCGCGGTTTCCTTTGTATTGCTACCAATGGGCGCACGGCATATTTTTCAATCAACACGGCGGTGCCGCTTGTAGTACATATTTTTTGGATCTAAGAAGCGGTTCCACGAAGAAAGCAAAATTATTCCCATCCAAGAGCGTGCGTACCAGCATCTTGAGTTATATCCCGTCCTTGATTTCTCTAAGAAATTACGGGAGTTTGGTTCAAGGGCAACCGACTACTGCAAGTATCACGTCTGCCGAAGGCAAGAATTTAGTTTACCTCATGATGTAACACTAGCAGCAGCACAATGCTACCTTTCCCAACGGTTGCTAGCTAAAGCTAGCTCGAGGAAGAAGTCGAAGGTGTAATATTTTGTTATTGCTACTTTTTTTAGGTGTTGTTACATAGTAGCTAGTTAATCTTTTCTTGTAAGAACATCTCCAAAGGAGATGTCAAAATGTCCAAATCAGTAATAATGGTAACAAAAGACAACATTAGTGTTTTCCAACCGAGAAGCCAAATCTGATGTGGCATGACATGGATTGACATCTCTCTCTCTTGCTGCCAAATTTGACTGCACGTAAAATGGTATATCAGCGTAATTTGTATTTCCGGTGCTCATAAATGTGATTTGAAGTTTGGTACCTTTGTTTATTTCTTTTTCTTCACAAACAATAAGATAATATCTTCGCATTGTTGAGTCTTACAAAAATATTTGGGCTGGTACAATTTTGGGTTTGAGAATTATTGGTTTGGGCCTTTTACTCTATCTTCATTGGGCCAGTGAGTTCATGAAGTCCAACTCCTTAAAATACTAAAACACCCTTGACCTTTTCAAGCAGGACACGGATATCCCCTCCGCCTTTGGTCTTTTCACTTTCGCATTCCTGGACAGGCTCAAAGACAAACTCGTGTTACGAGTGGCGCGGTGTTATACCATACCATCCCATCGCGAAGCAAGTACACAGGCATCTTAAGTTATACTTGGGACCTTAATCTCCCTTAAAAATAAATGGGATTTTGGTTGAATCCTAAAAGTGTAGTTTTAGTGTATGATTCCATTTTTAATTGCATTCAGAGCTTTTGTTTAAAAACTCTACGTATTCATTGCACTGGTGATTAAGTGGCAATAAAATCGTTGCCATTAGCAGTGGACCGCGATCCCCTCTTTTAAACTTTAACATATCATATTTTTGATACGGGCCTAAATTATTGGGTTGACTTACAAATCTTACAACAAATGCATCAAGGCATTTTGCATAAAAATGACACTATCGATACTATTAGTGGTGGACCGCAACTCGTCTAATTTAACATACCCATTATGGGTTGTAGAAACTTCGAAAGTAAAAGGCTTCGATTTGTTCGCGGACTTGAGAATTCAGATCAACTGGTCCAACATCATAAACGGGACTGATGGAGACTAAGGAAAAATCGATCGAGTGGAGATAAGGTCTTTTTCACGACCAGTAAGTAGTAACAAACAATTTCATACAGCCAACAATAAGAGCGCTCAAAGATCGACAACAACAAGCCATTCATATACTTTTTCATGGACAATGTGATGGTAAAGTTCGAAAACTAACATTTCATGTCGATCACAATAGAACTAGAACAATCTACAAAGCTGAATTTGGTTACGAGCGCCGAGATGGAGATACATCCTCAGCTATGTAAAACTAACATTTCTTCTACATGCTAGAACGATTATGGTTTTCAAAAGTTGCTATGTTTTTCATTGGCCTCTCTAACCCCAACTGACCTTAATACTGCTGAAGCGGGAAAACACAGGACTGGAGCACGGAAGCAAAAAATGCAGCTTCAGTCGAGCAGCCAACTGCGATTACGGATTTCATTCTGGCAAGTTTTCTTCAAGTCTCTCCTTCTCAGCTCCCAAACTCTGATCAATTCAAAAGGGGAAAAAAGGAAAACCCATTAGATCAGAATTCATGATGCAGAATAAAATTAGTTTTGATTTGCTGTCTCGAAACGTTAAGCCATATATATATACACAAACAATATGGTAAATGCTCCAGTACTTTCAGTAGAGTCAGCTTCGCATGCATTTAGTTAAGACACTAAATATGTTGGGGGCATTTTACATCTTTCCAACCGTTATGATCCATTCAAAAATTTAATCTGGATATGATACAGACGGATATCCAGAAGAGCAGTGACTGGAATTTCACATGAATGCCTCTTCACAGCTATATCAAACTACTAAAGCACAAAAGAAAAGATAGAAAGAAAGCAAGCCATTCTGTTAGAAATGTTAAATCTTTCCCAAGTGATTGGTGCTTAACATTCAGAGGAATAAACTAATATGTTGGTTTAAAAGATAGAACATGAACATCCGTTGCCAAGTGAGTAAGTTGATTGGACGAGCATATGTATTTGTCCCAAAAGGAAAAAGCCCCGACCTTAGCGTACACATGACTTGACAACAAATACACTTGAGAAACAACATCAACGACAACAATGCATGGATTTCAAGGTCTAAAAATAATGCTATCGTAAAATTTAGATGGATACCAGTGTTTAACGCTCGCTTATCAAATTAAGTAAGGCAACAGTGCATCAAATTAAGTAAGGCAACGGTGCATCAAATTAAGTAATGCATCAAATTAAGTAAGGCAGCAGTGCATAAACAGAGTGGTAGAAAAGAAATTAACCAATAAACAATGGCATCTGAAATTCTAAGATTGGTGACTCTTAAACCTCAAGGAGTACAAAAAACTACTTGTGGTCAGACCTTTGATGCATCAAAGCCAAACCCACTCATTTGCATCATTTTCTCAGTATCATCCATGACTCCACATGGGTGCATAAGAAAAGTTACTAGTTTATTAACATCCTAGAGCATATAAACTCTAGCTCATAGCTGTGGCGGTGCACATGTGAAAAAACTAAAGACATGCAATTCTGAGCATGAAAATTACCGTGATGTGACTAAACAAACCTATGAATCTTAAAAGATCACTTACATCCTAATTTTCTTCAAAGAAGGGATGGTTCAAAGCATCTTTAACCTTCATTCTCTTACCAGGATCATAGGCTAGTAAACCCTGCAAACATGTTATAACGAAAATATCATAAAAACAAACAAACATATGAATTAAGAACTAGGAACCTAACAAACATTCATGTAGCAGATCACAGCCATGAACACCTAGCGACGGGAACAGCCATGTAAAATCAACCTCTGGATGCTGCGGCGGACAAGCCGGCCACAAAGGTAGCTGGTTCACTGTTGGCCATTTCTCTGTGGTGATGGTTCCCAAAACTCTGCACATCCATATAGCTTAAGAATCCTAATATTGTTTTCAAATCTAACTAATCTAAAGGTTCCCACAACTTTTAACCCATTACAATAAAAACCCACACTTCTAAACCATTACAAATTAGTCCTCAATGACTTACAATTTAGTCCAATTACAAAAACAACTATTCTTCCTTGTGATTGAAGTAATCACAATGGTCAGTTCATAACATTAATGTTCTTTAACTTATAAAATTATAATTAATCAAAAACACAAATAAACGAGTTTACCTGGTAATCCCACGCAAGTACGGATCGACATCATGTTTGTCTCCGATGTGAGGGAACAACCTCTTGCCTGTGCACATCTCAGCTATACAAACAGAAATCAATTTAGATAAGTGATAATTTCATGAAATTAGAAATCAAAGCAATTACAGAAATCAATTGAGTCAATTGGACGAAATATTCAATACCTATTATGCACCCGCACGCCCAAGAATCAACTGCGTCAGTGTAGTGCTTGGCACGAAGCATCAGCTCCGGTGCCAAGTAGGCCTTCTGGAGAGCGATGATAGGGCTCAAATTTCTTTCTTCTTCGGTATCAAACATATCTCCCCCAAATACCTAGCATCTTGGAAGTTTCGGATCTTGATTCGACCATCGGCGAGAAGAAGGATCTTGGTTGGGTTTAGGTACGGAGGATAACCATGTTCCGGTGGCAGTGAGCCAATCCCAGCAGAATCTGCCGGATGAAGTCTCTCACAGTGTCCCTCCTTAAGCCGCCGTTGATTCTTCGTGCCAAGCACTACAGTGACGCAGTTGATTCTTGGGCGTGCGGGTGCATAATAGGTATCCAATATTTCGTCCAATTGACTCAATTGATTTCTGTAATTGCTTTGATTTCTAATTTCATGAGATTATCACTTATCTAAATTGATTTCTGTTTGTATAGCTGAGATGTGCACAGGCAAGAGGTTGTTCCCTCACATCGGAGACAAACATGATGTAGATCCGTACTTGCGTGGGATTACCAGGCAAACTCATTTATTTGTGTTTTTGATTAATTATAATTTTATAAGTTAAAGAACATTAATGTTATGAACTGACCATTGTGATTACTTCAATCACAAGGAAGAATAGTTGTTTTTGTAATTGGACTAAATTGTAAGTAATTGAGGACTAATTTGTAATGGTTTAGAAGTGTGAGTTTTTATTGTAATGGGTTAAAAGTTGTGGGAACCTTTAAATTAGTTAGATTTGAAAACAATATTAGGATTCTTAAGCTATATGGATGATTGGATGTGCAGAATTTTGGGAACCATCACCACAGAGAAATGGCCAACAGCGAACCAGCTACCTTTGTGGCCGGCTTGTCTGCCGCAGCATCCAGAGGTTGATTTTACATGGCTGTTCCCGTCGCTAGGTGTTCATGGCCGTGATCTGCTACATGTATGTTTGTTAGGTTCCTAGTTCTTAATTCATATGTTTGTTTGTTTTTATGATATTTTCGTTATAACATGTTTGCAGGGTTTACTAGCCTATGATCCTGGTAAGAGAATGAAGAAAATAAAGACACTCATAAACATGATATCTTGAGCATATTATGAAGATTTATATTACTAAAAATGACTACTGTATATCTATTATACAGGTCAATCATCAAGGACGTAAAAAAGAAGGATGACAAAAATTTATGCAAGCACAGGAACCAAAAAATCGGTTTCAGAGGCGTTGAAACATACCTGCTACAAATCCAGAGAAGAAAAAGTTGACCCATGCAAAAGTAAGAGTCTGGTCAACACAAAGGTAATCATGAAAAATTAGTTACAATATCTGAGAAAATGAAGCCAAATTACAGTACAAACTAAAAACTCAAGCAATCTGAAATACCTGGGGTATTATCATGGACAGATTTTTCTTCATCATATCCATGGCCATGTTGGGATCAGAGAACATTTGTGCTTGTGGATTCTGTGCCTGACCCTTAGGAACAATTAACAACCCATTTTCCTGCCATAGTGAAAATGTTTGACATCAGTATCAACAGAATGACAACAAGAAATAGCAGACTACAACCTAGTTTCAGTGAATCTTCTAGACCTCTATACATGAATCAAAGTTTTGACGCTCCTAACCATAGAGAAAGCATTGAAATTTTAGTAAGTTCAAGAGCACAGAAATTTAGTAAATTAGAGAGCATTGAAATTTTATACAAAAACACTTCCAAGAGCTCAATTGGAGAAAATACAATAAAAATCTTATCCAACCACATGTTATACTCTAATTGGTTCGTAGTTGTGAGATTTTTTAAAGCTTCCCTTCTTCCATTACAAAGTCAGCTGGGTTTGTTTAAAGAATTGGGTTTGAAGTGTTTCTAAGTAATGCTATCAAAGGGTTTCTATGCGAAAAGCCTTGAAATTTCTCGTATTCATCGGCCCCTTACAATAAACCATGCTGTAAGTTTTCGACAACAAAATGAGACGAAGAATTCTCACTATCTGTTACAACAAATTTCCAATCCAAATTACATAAGCCCAATGCTAAACTCTAACTCATCAACAACACCAACAAATAAAATTCCTCTCAGCTTAAGATAACAAAAGCATGTCAATTTGAGTGCTCTTAGAAAAAAAAATTAAACGACTAATTAGCACATACAACAAGAATTATTGGCAAACCTCGTTGTTGTAATACAATCGGCGAGCACGAAACGACTTTGGAGGTATGAAATTAGCAGCAGCACGTAAGTTCCGAGCCCTAATAATCAATTGCCTGAATTCGCAACCAAAAGCAATTTCATAAAGTCAGACAGCGTCATATATCACAAATACATACAAACGCATGTAGTATAATAAGCATGTGTAATTAGGGTTAAGAGGGAGACCCTTCTTTGACAATTTTGGCATCGGGAACTTGGTTGGATCGCATGAGCTTGGAGACGAAGTATCGGAGGACGCCGATGAGAATGATGGGCTTGGGCCTTTTACTCTGCCTTCATTGGGTCAGTGAGTTCACGAAGTCCAACTCTTTTAAGTACTAAAACACCCTTGACTTTTTCTAGCAGGACACGGATATCCCCTCCGCCTATGGTCTTTTCACTTTCGCGTTCCCGGATTGACTGAAAGGCAAACACCGTCTAGTGAAAATCCAATCGATAACGAGGCGAGGCGAGGCGAGGCAGAGCAGAACAGAGAGATATACCCAAAACGCAACCAAAGACTGTCGTTTAGCTCTCATTCTTTGGCTGCCCGCGAAGCTCCAACAATGGCGGCAGATCTGGTGCTTGACACAGCCATCAGAGACTGGGTTCTCATCCCTCTCTCGGTGGTCATGGTTCTCATCGGCGTCCTCCGATACTTCGTCTCCAAGCTCATGCGATCCAACCAAGTTCCCGATGCCAAAATTGTCAAAGAAGGGTCTCCCTCTTAACCCTAATTGCACATGCTTATTATACTACATGCGTTTGTATGTATTTGTGATATATTACTATGTCTGACTTTACGAAATTGCTTTTGGTTGCGAATTCAGGCAATTGATTATTAGGGCTCGGAACTTACGTGCTGCTGCTAATTTCATACCTCCAAAGTCGTTTCGTGCTCGCCGATTGTATTACAACAACGAGGTTTGCCAATAATTCTTGTTGTATTTGCTAATTAGTCGTTTAATTTTTTTTTCTAAGAGCACTTAATTGACATGCTTTTGTTATCGTAAAGCTGAAAGGAATTTTATTTTTCTGGTGTTGTTGATGAGTTAGTTTAGCATTGGGCTTATGTAATTTGGATTGGGAAGTTGAAGTTGTAATGGATAGCGAGAATTCTTCGTCTCATTTTGTTGTCGAAAACTTACAGCGTGGTTTATTTTAAGGCGCCGATGAGTATGAGGAATGTCAAGGCTTTTCACATAGAAACCCTTTGATAACATTACTTAAAAAACACCTCAAACCAATACTTTAAACAAACCCACCTGACTTTGTAATGGAAGAAGGAAGCTTCAAGAAATCTCACAGTTACGAATCAATTAGAGCATAACATGTGGATAGATTATCAGATGAGGTTTTTATTTTATTTTCTCCACTTGAGCTTTTGAAGTGTTTTTGTATAAAATTTCAATGCTCTGTAATTTACTAAATTTCTGTGCTGTTGTATTTACTAAAATTTCCATGCTTTCTCTATGGTAGGAGAGTCAAAACTTTGATTCATTTATAGAAGATTCACTGAAACTAGCTTGTAGTCTGCTATTTCTTGTTGTCGTTCTTTTGATACTGATGTCAAACATTTTTCTATGGCAGGAAAATGGGTTGCTAATTGTTCCTAAGGGTCAGGCACAGAATCCACAAGCGCAAATGTTCTCTGATCCCAACATGGCCATGGATATGATGAAGAAAAATCTGTCCATGATAATACCCCAGGTATTTCAGATTGCTTGAGTTTTTAGTTTTTACTGTAATTTGGCTTCATTTTCTCAGATATCGTAACTGATTCTTCATGATTACCTTTGTGTTGGCCAGACTCTTACTTTTGCATGGGTCAACTTTTTCTTCTCTGGATTTGTAGCAGGTATGTTTCAATGCCTCTGAAACTGATTTTTCGGTTCCTGTGCTTGCATAAATTTTTGTCACCCTTCTTTTTCACGTCCTTGATGATTGACCTGTATAATAGGTTGTCATTCAATAGATATACAATAGTCATTTTTGGTAATACAAGTCTTCATAATATGTTCAAGATATCATGTTTATGAGTGTCTTTATTTTCTTTTCCACAGCCAAAATTCCCTTTCCTCTTACTCAAAGGTTCAGGTCCATGCTTCAGAATGGGATTGACTTGAGCACTGTTGATGTTAGCTACGTCAGTAGCCGCTCATGGTACATGTTTATGTTTTGAGCTATCCCTGTTGTATAAAATTCATCTTTTTCCTATTGGGTGTTTTTTACTATTTTTCTTAACTGATTGTCTCTAATTATTCAAAATTATTCTCTCAGGTACTTTCTTAATCTGTTTGGATTAAGGGGTTTGTTTAGTCTCATTCTGGGAGAAGAAAATGGTTGGTATCTCCTTATATGATTATTACCTCACAATAATTTTTCTTCCTCAGAAATGCTTGTTTTTTGTCTTTTCAAAAATGTGCACCACAGCTATGAGATAGAGTTTATATGATGTATGAGGTTGATGAACTATTAACTTTTGTTATGCAGCCATGGACGATACTCAGAAAATGATGCAAATGAGTGGCTTTGGATTTGATCCATCAAAGGTATGAACTTAAGTAGTTTTTTGTACTCCTTAAGGTTTAAGAGTTGTTTATATTGAAGATTTCAGATCCATTATTATGTTTGTTTCCACAAATCTATTTATGCACCATTGGCCTGTATTTGATGAATGAAAAACAAAGATACGCAACTAAATTTCACGAAAGTATCCGTTCTAGACCTTGAGTGCATGCATCGCCATTGTTCTTTAAGTACATTTATTGTCAAGTCATGTGAACGTTAAGGTCAGGGCCTTTTTCCTTTTGGGGGAAATTTGTTGGGGCTTATATGATCATCCAATCAACTTACTCACTTGACAATGGATGCCTTGTCCTTCATTAAACTAATCATATAATTATTTGGGAAGCACCCATCGCTTTGAACCTGTAAAGTTTGTACCAGAATGGCTATTTTTTTCTCTAGCTTTTAATAGACTTGTGCTTTGGTAGTTTGATATACCTGTTAAGAAGCATTCAAATGAAGTTCCAACCATTCCTCTTCTGGATATTCGTCCGAATCATGTTCGCATTTACTTATTTTGGATGAAAACAATTGGAAATATGATTAACTAAAGATTACTTGTATTCTGAGTCACGAGTTCTAATCTAAAGGGTTTTGCTTTTTCCTTTTTGGATCGATCAGAGTTTGGGAGCTGAGAAGGACAGTCTTGATATAGTCCAGCATGACTGGGCCTTGCCAAAATTTGAGCATCGCGCCGAAGCAGTATTGAGAGAACTTGCCAGATGAAAGCTGAAATCGTGAAGTTGGCTGCCCGACGGAAGCATTGTTTCTGTTCACATGCTCCCCTCCTGGGTTTCTTCCACCCAGGCAGTAAAGTCAGTTAGACTTTAGAGAGACCCAAGAAAAACATAAGAACTTACAAAAAACGTAGTCGTCGTTGTCTTTAGCAGCTTAAACTTAAGTTAGTTCTGATCATTAAACAAGGCACTTTTTTTTAGCAGATCGAACACATTGCTGCTTGTAACTCGTAATTCCTTTTCTTTTTTGTTCTGAAACAAACTGTTGAAATGATTTATTTTCAAATTTCCCTGAAAAAGGTGGTGCAAATAAGTGGTTGCCAAACAAAAGTGGCTTGCTGTACTTTAATTAACATGATTAGCGTTGAGTAGGGTCTGCACTTTAA